TGGAGGGCCCCATAATCAATTCTTATATCCAGTCCACATCTAATGCTGCTTGTTGTTGTGATGTGCCGCCACGTTGCTTCCGACCTATGGCGACCCTGTGAATGAGCGCTCTCCAAAGGGTGCTGTCTTCAACAACTCTTGTGGACTCAAGCCTGTGGCTTCCTTGAGGGAGTCAGTCCATTTCATGTTATTGGGTCCTCCTCTTTACCTGCTGCCTTTGACCTTTTCCCGGCACGATGATCTTTTCCAGAGAATTCTTCCCTTTCAGGATGTAGGACAGCCTCAGTGTTAACATTTTTGCCTCTTGAGCTTGAAGCTGGAGTTCAGGCTTGATTTGATCCTAAGAGACTCCCTGGTTTGTCTTTCTGGCAGTCCAGGATCTGCACAAACTTCGGCACCACATTTCAAACATATGATTCCCCACCCCACCCTGGTCAGCTTTCTTAACTCTCCAGCTTTCACACCCATACATGGGGATCAGGAAGACAAGAGCGTGGGTGATCTTGGTCTTGATTTCCGGCGACACCTCCTGACTCTTGATCCTCTTTTCTATTTCCTTCCTGGCTGTTCTTCTGTCTTCTCCTGATTCCTTCTTGGTTGAAGACTACATCAGGGTTGATTATGGCCGCTGTAGGATCTGGAATTCCACCGTGTGCAATGCATAAATGCCTTCTTGGTACCTCCTTTGAATTTCTCACAGTTCAGCTTCAGTGGATAACCTCCAGAACGTCTAATATGATGATGAGACATGAAGAAAAGCTTCCCTCATCCACCTCCTGCCTAGAGCAGACGGTTGGACCTTATAGGCCCCTTCCAACTCAGTTACTATATGTACTTGATTATAAGCCTAGTTATTCATCACAATTTTTTTGCTGAAAAAACACCCCCCTCGGCTTATACTCGAGTCAGTGCCAAATTTACATGTTTTCCCCTGCAGTATGGGTGTTCTCCAGGCTCCCCCACTCATCTACGGGTGCCTCTGTGGGTGGTCCGATGACCCGGGTTAAGTACACTGCATTTCTGCTTCCAGAACGCTCCCATCCTCCTTCATATTCTATGTACCCACCTTCCTCGTCCCACCTTCCTCCTCCATCCTCCATCTCCCTCCATCTTGTTACACAGCAGTAGAGCAGTAGATAAGCTCAGCATCCGGTATGAGTCCTCCCTCCACAGGCAGTGAAGTGTGTCTCGCAGCTCAGAAGGGCAATATCTTCAAAAACATTTAACCTACTGATGCCTCAATTAATGTAATTTTATTGGTATCTATTTTTATTTTTGAAATTTACCAGTAGTTGCTGCATTTGCCACCCCCGGCTTATACTTGGGTCAATAAGTTTTCCCAGTTTTTTGTGGTAAAATTTGGTGCCTCGGCTTATATTCGGGTTCGCTTATACTCAAGTATATACGGTGTTCTGTAATTTTATGATTCTGTGATTCTCTTGCCCTGCAGATGTACTGTGCGTCTCCTCCTGCCTCATCTTTCTAAGCAACGCGAAATCAAAAGTCATGAGTCTTCTTCATAACTTTGCAACGAAAATCTCCACGAAAAACTTCACACATCTTCATGCATTAATCCTGTTTCTTATTCTCCTTCTGCATGTTTGCTGGATACACGTATTTTGAAGGCCATGAGAAAACAGAGATGGAGCTAATCAGTTAAAATATTAAAGATCCCGAATTGTTTCTTGATAGAACTGCCTGATCTTAATTCTGTTCACAGAAGCATTAAGTGCCACAATTATCCCGGCTTCCCAAGCTGGCGGGTGATGTTCTGTCCATGTCATCCGCCAATTAGTCCTCCGTTAGCCTCTCCTGAAGTGAACTGACGTTATTTCGGTCACAACTGTCTCGTTAGCTGTTCGATGTGTGTGTGTGTGGGGGGGGGAATTGATGTGCGCCAGGGCACCAAGAAGCACAGGAGCCCAGAAAAACCGGTTGGGTGTTAGATTTGCAAAGAGGGTGGCCCTCCAAGGCCATTTGGAAGTCCGTCGACGAGCAGCCTCAGAACTTTGCTGCTTGTTTTATCTCGTGCGTTTTGATATCTGAACTCTGTTTTGCAAGGACCCAGAAAGGAAGGGCCTCCAAGAGAGAACTGTTCAAAGGAACCAAACAGGGTCTGAACAAAATGACACAGACATAAGGATTGTCATGAGACATAAACATTACTTCGTACTTTCCCCATCTTCTAGATCAAGGAGTGGAACGTGTCGAGGTTGGGGGGGGCTGCATCCAGCTCACCTACCCACCCTTGACACTGCGACTGGTTTTGGGTTGGCAGGAGTTCGTCCGTGTTTGGCGTCTTGTTCCCCGGAAGTCTCAGGATCGGGACTGGAGAGAGATTTTCCATTACCTGCACACCCAAATTTTGAGTAAGAAAGTTAGAGGGGGAAATGGGGTTCGAATCATTCCTTGTACCTTTCGGGGGGGGGGAGTGGAACAATCTTGCTGTTTTGAAGCGGTAAAGTCCCTTTCTAGGCCTTACACAGCTTGGATCCAGGCTCCCTGAAGGACTGTCTCTTCCCCTTATGAGCCTTCTCGGTGTTTAAGATCCTCAGATTAAAATCCTCCTCTCAGCCCCATCGTCCAGCCCAGGCCCAGCAGATGGGGACCCGAGACAGAGCCTTCTCGGGGGCAGCTCCCAGGGTATGGGGGGCTCCCCCCGGGTAGGGAGAGATCAGAAGGGCCCTCCTCCCTTTTCTCCTTCCGCCAACTGCTGGAGAGGGGTATGGGGGGGTCTCCTCCGGGGGAGATCAGGAGGACCCCCAACCCTTTTCTCCTTCCGCCAACTGCTGGAGACACACCTCTCCAGGCAGGGTTTTTATTAATGCAGTCCCACAAATTGGTTTCTAGTTTAGTAAGTTTGTTTTTAAAGTGTTACATGTTTTCAATCACTTCGTGCCTTTTTACCTTTTTTGTTATGGTCCTTTTTAATGCATACTTCACTGCATTTTGCACGCTGCTTGGTTTAACACTACGGGGCACTTTGAGTCAGTCACTAAATTGGGAGAAAAGTTGCCAATCAATCAATCAATCAATCAATCAATCAATCAATCAATCAATCAATCAATCTTTTGAGTACACCCCCATCTCATTTTTCTTAAAATCTGGCCACTAGAGGATGGAATGCAGCCTTTTTTTCAGTTTAAAAACCCCGTTTTTGGAAGACCAGCTATTCAGCAATGGGGGGGTGTAATTCGTGAGAGGAGAAATCTGCACTCCCCTGGGATTGAAATATAGCAAGAAGGCCCAACACTCTGGAGACTTACACACACACACCGATCTCTCCTCCATTCAAGGGTTTCAGGAAACCTTTCATTAAAATAAAATATATATAATGAGTTAGATTTAGGAGGTTTGAAATGGCTGTCCAAGGAGACTTTAACTTGCACTTTACACATCCCATTCTAGAGAATTCCAACTAAAATCCACTTTCTTCCGTTTCTCTTCTTTTTTTATGAAATACAGTATGTATCTCAATATAGACCTTTCTGACATCAAGGCACTTATTTACATGAAGATTTTGTAAGTAAAAGAGAAACATTTTTATTCTTTCGAAACCAAGAGACTTTCTTTATCTTGAGACAATGTTCTTCCAGTTAAACTAAGGTGAGACAGATCTGCACTATGAGGTGTGGAAAAATTGAGACAGACTTGTAAATTAATATTCTAATCTGCTCTGTGGGTTCCTCTCTGGACCGCTGCATAGCTGGAAGCTTGTTTTTCATTTTTAATCCAGCATTTCACCACCCGCTTTGCCCAGCAGTCATAACAGTAACAGTTGCTTGCAGCATTAAGAAGGGTTTTTTAAAAACAACAACAACAACAACAAGTAACTAAAAGTAATTATTGAGTTGCATTTGAGAAAGCAAGAAAACCGGCAGCCGCCGCTAATGACTTTTTGGGGTTTGGGGAAAGATGTGACCAAAAAAGCATGATCCCAATGTTGTGTGCGTTTCTTTTAACGTGTGGGTGTGGGTGTGGGTGCTGTGTCACATCCTGGATCCCTCCAAACATGATAGAGGTTTTGTATGAGCTGTGCATGGTCTCCGGGAGATGTGGCTTCTTCTCGGCTTCAGCCTTACGGGGTGCAAGAGAGGGTGGCCGGCGCTGGGACCCCCTCCTGCCCCCCCCCCCGCGTGCAAGAACCATGCTTAGCATCTGTTCTTGGGCACATCGTGTCCTTTCCATTGGGAGAGAAAGCCATCAGCAAACATTGCGAAGTCAATACTGTAGATAACAGCAGATGGAGTTAGCATCTGTTCTTGGGCACAACGTGTCCTTTCCATGGGGAGAGAAAGCCATCAGCAAACATTGAGGAGTCAATACTGTAGATAACAGCAGATGGAGAGACTAAGGACAAGTTTGTGTGTGTGTGTGTGTGTGTGTGTGTTCCCCCCTTGCCCTGTTGCCATAGAAACCCAGCCCTGTATAACTCTCCCCCCCCAGATAGAAACTACCTGAAATGGATTTTACCTGCATCTTACCTAGAAGGTAAAGACACGATCAGCTTTATTTGGTTTGAAATTGAGCTTGTGCTTTTATGAGTCACAACTGTTTGTTTGTTTGTTTGTTTGTTTGATTGATTTATATACCGCCCATCTAGATCGGGTCTACTCTGGGCGGTTAAAACAAAATAAATTGATCCCAAGTCTCAAGAATTATGGTTCCTTTTATTATTGTTATTATTATTGCTTTGTTTCCCTTCTCTTTTATGGTTCTCAAATATATAATATGCCACCCAGAGTAGACCTTTGGTCTAGATGGGCAGGGTATAAATCTAATTAATTAATTAATTAAATATCATCATCATACTCTTAGAACTGCAGGGCTGGAAGGGACCCTGTGGGTCATCCAGTCCACCCCCTGCCAAGGAAGCCCAGTGGGGGAATCGAACTCCCAACCTCTAGTTTTCCTGGTTCAAAGTTCTCTAAGTTCCTGCTTGTTTGGAGAGCTAGGGGAAAGAATAAAAGCACGCTAAAATGGGTCGTCTTTCCCCACAGGAAGCAGGAGGTCTTGAACAGCACGGATGGGCCAGGCCCCGAGAGACCTTTATCGCCACCGCTTACGGCCCCACCAAACATGAAGGTAAGCTGACCGTTCTTTTGCGCTCCTGGGATGGAGCTATTTTGCAGCCCGTGTCAGGAGGTCCATGGGGCCCGGTCGCCTTTTGTAACTGAACGTAGATCGAGATATTATGACGATCCGTGCCCCACCCAGTGCATGAGTCGGAACCAGCTGAAAAACCGCTGGAGGGGGGGAATTTAAGCTGAAGCAGCAGCAAAACTAGCAGACACAGAATTTCACAGCCTCCTCAGTAAAATGTCCAAACTGGGAAAAGCAAAGGGCTGATGAAACAGCTTAAATGGCATTAACCGCATTAACCGTGGGGGCAGGCCAGCGCCCAGAGAGGAGGGCATCGAAAGTTCACACTAGAGATGCTTCACAACTTTGGCACAGCCGACAAGAGTTTTGTCTTCCCAGGGCTGCACAAAAGCTTCTCTCCGTTTTTTGGTTCCTCTTCTACTGACACGCTGGTCTGTTCGTGGCTGTTCTGACTTTCACTGTACCAGCTCTCGACAACAGCATTGTGTTGCAAGGTGGATTTTAAAAAAAGAAAAGCATGTTTTTTTTAAATTAAATCATTAAAATATCTGATTTTTTAAAAAGTGAATTATGGTTTAGATCAATTTGAATATAAAGCCAATCCACACTGTGTTGCATCCAAACCAGTCTCCCACGTTTTTGGCCCAGAAGTATTTTCCCTCATTTCTTTTCCTGTTTCTTTGGTCCTGGATGATCAGCTGTGATAATCCACACTTTTCTGTGTTTCCTTATGTGAACAAAGTGTTCCAGCTTTTTTCATTGAAAGGCAGCGATCCTGTTGAGAACCCCTCACACATCTGAGTCACCTAAGCAGACCCTCCCTCTTGGCAGGCCATCAGTTCGTCACATGATCACTGCCACAAGCAATGCATGAGCAGTCATGTGACAGCCTACCTGCCGGTGTTTGGGTGTTGAACCACATACCTGATTACTGTTGAGCATTGTTTTTCTCAACAGGATTATGGCTTGGGTATTTTATGATTTCTTGGCCTTTAGTTTTCCTTCTTGGTATATCTTTCTTTGTCATCCTCTTGACTGGTCAAATTCTTAGCACCCTGTGATACGTCCATGTTTCAAAGGCTTATCTAGGTGGCTGTATTGTAGCCAACATTGGCACCTTTGAAACGAAAATGTCTTGTTTGGCACAAAGTTGCATGGACTGCTGCAGTCCACTTGTTTAGTTACTGTTTAATTTAAAAGGGTCTTTTTTATTTACTGTTTTAGTTATTGTTTTTGGTCAGGGTGCATCTGGTTATATGTGTTTGTCTCTAATGAAATTAGATAAAACAGTGGTTGGAAAACAACCAGTAAACGTCACTTGTCAATGTGTGTTTCTCAAGACCAGATTTTTATTACAGAGTGGCTGAAATGCTATGGCACAGTTACAAAAATAGCATAGCTTTTGGAATTGAATTGACCTCCCGTTAAGAAATATCTGTAGACTTTTATCTGTTGCATCTTGAGTTGTGGGACTTGGTGGGCAATAAATAATGCCTAGGGAGATTTCTTAGCTGACACCAATTTATGTCTAAAAGTTACGCCCTTTGCCTAACCATACAACAGGATTTCAGCCAGTGCATTCTTCAGCTGCCTCGAGTGGTCTTTTAGGCCAGATGGGTGGGGTATAAATCAACTAAATAAAATAAAAATAAATAAATAAAACATAAAGAAGCTGATTTGTGCCATATCTATTCAGACTTTTGTTACTTGACTTTGATCCCACTGTTGTTTGACCAAACTCCAGGTTACTTTACTTATATTTATCAACACACCTATATGTTCATTTTTGGATCTTTATCTTCATTTCCTGGGCTGTTTGCTTTTTATGATTACCACTAGCTTTGTTTTCTTAACATTTGTTTTTAGGCTGTGCTCATTACTTGCTTTGTTGACTTTATCATGTAATCTTTCTGAACTTTAAACTAGTCATAATGTATTGTCCGCATATCAAGTGCTGATAAACTTTCCATTGAAAAAGATACCGTCATTTGAATCAGCAAGTGGCTCTATAAAAATTTTCTTGGAGGATATACAGTGAAAAGTTGTGGTGGGAGTAAAAATCCTTTTTTCTTCCAAGTTGTTGTTGTTTAGCCATTAAGTCGTGTCCGACTCTTTGTGACCCCATGGACCAGAGCACGC